GCCACGGCGGCAGCCGCGGCGGTGGCGGTGGCCGCGGCAGCAGCGGCTGCAGCCGCGGCCGCGGTAGCCGCTGCGCTCGTCGTCACCGGGTTGGCGTTGACCGTGGCAGCAGCGTTCACCGACGACGACGACGGGTTACTGGAAGCGGAAGCAGCTGCGGCAGCGGCGGCGACGACAGCAGCATCGTCGAGGCCGGTGGACGCCGCCGGCAGGACTGTCTGGCCCGCGGTCACCCCGCCGACGGACGGCGCGACGACTCCGTTACCGTGATGATGGTGATGATGATGGTGATGGTGATGGTGATGATGGTGGTGTCCATGTCCGTGGTGAATGGCGGCACCTACCACCACTTCCTTCTCGTAGCAGGCGGCGGCCATGTTGTCGGGTGCCTCCTCCTCCTCCTACTATCCGGGCTTCCGCCGGCGCGCCGCCGTCCCTTCTCGCACGCCCGACGCTGACGACCCACGATGACCCACGGTGTCGAACGCTAGGCCCTCATGACGCGAAATTCTCGCGATGATTTTCGTCGTCGACGACGGTGATCCGCTGTTCTCCGTCGTCTCGAGTAACGTTTCGATGCCGCCCCCCGTCGTCAAAGCGTGTCGCGCGGTAGAGGCCGGTTGAGATTTGCGCTCGCGATTACCTCGAGTCGCGACTATAACGTGCGAGATATGTATCGAGTTACTCGTCCTTGCCGTTGAGAACAATGACGATATGACGATGACGATGGGGACGAACTTGCTGGGGGGGGGGGATGGTCAGTGACGACCACGACGATACTCCCCGACTAGACTCACGCACTCTCGAGCGAGTCGGAGTAAATAAAGGATATTGCTCATCGCCGCGCGGTAGCCTTAGCCAAGGGTTGGACCAAAAGGATATATCCAACACCGAGGAAAGCTCCTCTGCTGAGAGAGAAGTCCAGCGCGTGCGGCAAACGTTATATTATACTATCGCATGTTTCCTTTTTCTTTTATTTCGGACAAAAAGCTCATTCTAGTGTGCCAATTACGTACGGGGCCCCTATTACTCTCCCCGGCGTTTAATGCTCCGCTCGTTCAGGACGGTCGGTCTTCTCTCGTCACCGCTCGCTGTCAGGACCACCCGTTCTGCAGCCTTCTTCCTTTCTCCCTACCTTCACTGTATCTCTCTCTCTCTCTCTCTCTCTCTCTCTCTCTCTCTCCCTTTCTCTCTCTCCCTTTCTCTCTCTCTCTCTCTCTCTCTCTCTCTTTCTCTCTCTTTCTTCGTCTATCTCACTGACCGGTGTCTTCTTCGTCTCTCCTCCTTCGGGACGACCACCTCTCACGCGTGCTTCACTTCACTGTCACGAATCGCTGGAGGGTCCGGGTCGCGCAACCCGGTCGTCGTCGATGTCCGGCGCGCCGCGTGTCAGCTTCTCGCGAGGCGAAAACCCTCGTGGGAACCCCGTGGCGTAACCCCAGCACTGGAGTATCGTCGGGGTATCGTCGGGCCCGTGCCGACGTCCGACTGACTGACTGGGCGTAGTAGCGCGTTCGGTTAGCTCGCACAGTCGCGTCTGTGTGTGTGCGCGCCGTCGCCGTCTATATCGCGCGACGCATGGATCCCCCGGTTCGTTCCGCCTCCTCGGATCGTCTCTTCCTGCACGTCTCTCTGTCTCCCTCACGTGCACCCTTATACCGTATACGTACGAAAAGCACGGCGACGGTTTTCCACCCCGTCCGCGCGCGTGTTATACGATTCGTCTCGCTCGGATGGACGTGTGCCGGGCACGTCCTAGACACACCGCGGCGTGCGTACGGCCTGCGTGCGGACGCGTGAAATGTGCGTGCGTGCTTGCGTGCGTGCGTGTTATGTATGTATTTTTTTACATATAGATATATATATATATATATATGTATGTGGGTGTGTGTATGTGCGTGTGTGCGCGCGGAGCGCAACGCAGGCAGGTGAACGCGGCTCGATCGTCGCGCACTGACAGCCGAGCTGCGACTGAGAGCTGAGTTCCTGGGGGACCCTCGACGGGCTCCCCTCCCGACGGACGCTCGCCGGCACTCACGCGTGGTCGATCGTCGAGCGGACTAATGCCGGGTTTACACGCTCCGAAAGCGACGGGTGTGAAACCCGTCCAATTTTTACGGTTTACAGGATCCGCATTTATTCATTCGTATATACACTTCGAAACACTTGAAATAAATTCGAATTTACGTCTGAAAATTTTTACTTGTTATACGCCGTTTAAATTGCCGAATAAAAGTATAAACGCTCGAATTTTTCTCTTACTTACGATAGTATTTTTCATTTACTTTCTCTCGTTAACATATATTTATTATTCTAATGTCTAATTAATTCTAATATAACATAATGCGGCACGTATATTATTACATTGTTCGGAGTAATTATCGTCGGAGAATATCGCCTAATTGATGTCGCAACGTGAGATGTTGAAAGACGGATTTAAATCCCCCCTCGCGCCGCGCTTTTCGCGTACACTTCGTGCACTCGAAGTGAAATCATTTCCGAGTTTTGTGAAAGAAAGAAGAAAGAAAAAGTCTACATGAGAAAAAGCTTCGAAGGAAATTTAAAGGGACGAGTTTTTATCCTTGGGAAAACGCGCTGATCTGTCTCTGTCGCACGTTTGGCAGTACTGCACCACCACCGGCGCTGCTGTCTACCACTGCGAGCGAGATGGCAAGGCACGTGAGGGGGCATCGCTCAGACGCCGTGCAAGTCAGTGCATCGCGTGTAAGTACCGTCCAGGATTTCTGTGATGTCTACTCCTCGGTACGCGAGGTCGACATGAGTGGCGAGTCAGCGTTACATCGTAAGATGTATTACTTAGACGTATCTCTGTTAGTACATTCATTATTTCATCATACGTAGACGTGATCACGGCTAGTCACTGCGTGACATAACCTGTACGCGCGACTCTCTCGAATTTTAATTCTATTGTCGAGCGAGCGCGACGACTGTCGACGCCGAGAACCGAGAGATTTGCATGTTTAGAAAACTCCCATCTGCCGTGTAGAATACAGGAAATTTTATTTCTATTTCTAGAGAAATTCCATCTGATCCCAATCTCACAGTGTCTCCTGTGTACCTCAAGAAGAATATTTTGGAAGCCGTTCGGTCGCTGTTTGGAGAGGAAGGAGTCAAGAGTTGTCCTGTAGACATTCTAAAATTCTCTCCTGAAAAGCGTACATTTGTCCTACGCTGTCCATATGACAGTTACGTCCGACTGCGATCAAGTCTGACTCTGAGTACAAAGTACGAGGGAAAGACGTGTGTGTACACCGTTCACCGGGCATCGCCGAATTTATTGTCGTTCACTGCCGATAGTAGAACGTTCCAGCACGGAGAAGTCCCTTTTAATTCTTCGCCATGCCACTGATACGTAAAGAGGGCAAGGACACCATTATCTTCGCATCTAAGGAAGATCATGCGGTACCCAGCAAAATCAGTCTTCCTGAATCAGAACCCAGTCCCGGGCTGTTGTTGCCCAACGGCGAGATCAATTGGAACTGCCCGTGTCTAGGAGGCATGGCGACTGGACCATGCGGTTTAGAATTCCGCGAAGCCTTCTCCTGCTTCCACTACTCCAGCGCAGACCCGAAGGGCTCAGACTGTCGCACTGCGTTCGAGACGATGCAGAGCTGTATGTCACAGTATCCGGCTCTGTACGAAAGCAAGGGCATGTCGACAGACGATCTGGAAGACGAGGAGATCGGGGAAGAGATGGAGAAACAGAAGAAGCAGTCGGCGGAGGGCAGCGAGGACAAAAGAAAGGTGGTAGTTGCTAGTCAAGGCGCGGCGGATTAGCAATAGTAGTCTTTTTCTTATATATATTTTACTATCTTAATTACTTTAAGGAACTTAATTTTACCTGTTGCCTGTATAGTTCAAAATAAATTTTTTGAAACAACATTTACAATTAAAATTAGATCTATCGCTATTGAGCTTGCGAACAGTTTGGAGCAGGTAAAATTGTGGCTCGAAATAATCAGGGATTATCTGAAGTCCATCGAAGAACTTCACTATTATGGGCATTACATATATAAATGGAAAATACTGTATTCTGTTCTTCGTGCCTAATGATATATTTCTTGTGAATTATAATATAATTTCCAGTTCAAGTAAACTACATTATTTATTAGTTTTGAAACACAGTTCTAAACCGAAACTGAAAGATAGTAATATTACAAATTAAATTTTCCTATATGTAAAATTAACCATTTAAATCCTATTATACTACTCTCTTAAACTAACATAAGGCAAACAGAACGAGTTTCAATTTTGTCAAGAAAGGAAAATTCTTTGCATTTATGTTACAATTTTCATATTTATTTTTATCTCTCTTTGCAATATGCAAATACAAATATATATTTCAGTCTAAATATAGAAAATATGCGAAGTATAAAACTAAAACGGAAAGTACCGTATCAGTTGTATTTACTTCCTCCGTTTAAATCTGCCTCTTACGCTTTAAAGGATTTAGGATGCACTATAAAAATTTTTCTCTAAAAATTAACTCTGTCCCGCACTCGATACGGCCAAAGTACAATCCTGTCTCTTCAATCTATTACACAACAATACTCCGAATAATATTCTGAAGATGCCTATGGGATGTGATGCTACATAATTTTATTAAAAATATGAGCACAGAGTGTTACATAACGCATAAGAAAATGAACCACTAAGAATCTCCCTCTTCTGCCTTTATTTTTTTTCCGTTCCATAAAATAAAAGATTTCGATTAGTTCATTTTCTTATGCTTTGTGCATCGTGCATAGGTCTTCTCCTACATTAATTATAGAAGACGGTTTGGTGAGCTCGTCTTTCTGAACGCGTTCAAATCTGCCGCGTGTGCTGTCTAGGTCGCTCGCTACTTCTCGCCGACGTCGCCCGATGGCGGAGCCTGGTCGCGTGACGTCGAGCGCGCGCTCGTCCCACCCCTCGTCGGATAGTCATTCCGCTCGCGTATGTAGTCGTGGTAGCAGCATCGTGGATTATCGGGCGCAACGCGATAATAACAGAGTCCCGCCGTTCGCCAGTAGCCGTTCGCGGTAGCAGCAACCTCTCGTACGTCATCGCCGTTGACGCTATGAGTTTGTCGTTACTCTCGCGGCCAGGGCGCCCATCGGAATTAGTGTTGAAAAGCGTCGTTGCCCGTTGTCTCTCGGTCGCGACGCAGCGCGACGTCGAGCAGTGACACGCGTCGCGCGCGAGCATCGATCACGATACCGACCCCGAGACCGATCTACGGTGCGACAGAGACAGGAAGACTTATAGGACGGTGAGCAAAGTGCGGCGAGCCGAGTTTCCGTCAAGTCGGCCGGTTAGAAAAGAGCGGAGCTCGTTTGCGCGCGCGCGCGCCCCTGGATACGTTCCTTGGCAGTGACCGAGAGTGTCCTGGTTTCCGTGCGCCGGTGCTGCTGGTGGAGAAACGCGTCGCGATCATCCCTTGGTCCTCCGTAACGTCGCCTCATCATGGACACCCATAAGAAGGAGAAGAAACACAAGGAGAAAAGGAGGTGAGTCGCGCGCGCGCAAGCAAGGAGAGAGAGAGAGTGTGTGTGTGAAAGTCGCTTTATTTTCGGAGCGACCGTATGGATTCAGGATGACGTGAATTTTCACCTGCGGTTGTATCGTTCGAACTATTCCGACGGACGTTGACGTGAGGTCTGTTTTTTTTTTTTTTTTTATTCCTTCACTAGAACTGTCTTTCTCGCTTTCGTCAAACGTATCAAGCATATATACCTATCTCACTTCAAGTTTCAAAAGTATGTAACTAGTTCAGTCTACGAAAAAAAAAAAAAACAGATCTGTGATAATATCGCTTGTAATAGCGTAAATTCAACGGAGTTTTTGAAGGAAAAGAGAGAGAGGAGAGAGAGAGAGATTAACGAGAAAAGCGAGCGTGTGTATGTGTGGTTTGACGCAATCGCTCCGCTTCTTTGATGTGACGGGATCGTTGCTTTGTCTCTTTCCCCGATTGCAACGCTTCATCTCACTCGCACCCCCCGGCGACGCTCGATTCTGTCTCTGTCTAACGCCACGTGATCTTCGTCGTCTATCTCCGTCACTCTTACGGATTCCTTATCGGACCTGTCGCTTTCTCGTTCTCTCTCTCTTTCTCTCTCCCTCCCTCCTTCCTCTACCGTTGAGTCTCTTAAATCAAATGAAGAAATTCTAACAAGTGTCAATAAGATGCTACATGCTTCATCTTTCCTTTTTTCTTATTCAATCTGTCTTGTGTTGATTGGTCTCTTTAAGTTATTTACGATACCGCACGATTGCTCCAGTTTTGCTCTCGTATCATTATGACTTATTTGCTACTTTATTGATTGATCTGGTTTCTTTATCCTTTCATTTATACGCCATCAGGTTAAGTTTCTGCTTTACTGTAGCCACCCATGTCTTTGTTTATTAACTCGAGGTTTGATTTTCTGAAAATGGCGCTTGGGATTTATTTCTGTATTTAAATTTAAAAAAATAATGTGTGTATTATATTTCTAAAGGAGTTTAATATGCCTACATTACATCTACGCAGTCTGTTATATTACAAATTTAACGATTAAAAATACAAGTAATATCATCGATGTTAATAGTAATTAACATTCTACATTAAATTACTCTCTCGACAAAATATTTTGACGCGCAGTTTCTAAATTAGATCAACAAATTTTAAAATATTATTGATAGAAAATTATGAAATTTTTCGTCTGTGGACATCAAGGAAACATTTTTTTCGTACTTTAGAATAAAGAATTTGTGACACGCAACTCTAATTTCCTTATTTAATATTCCCAAAAGGAATCTTTTCCGTCCCGTCTTTTCTGCTTGATTTTCCAGCTGCACGCTGGTACGCGAATGATTTTTTTATGTCGTGGCGCAACAAGCTCATAAAATAAACATGCAATATGAACTACCGCTTTTCGAACATTTACTACTTTAAACATCGGTGGATGTTTAAAGTAGTAAAGATAATGTTTAAAAATGTCGTTGATACGACCTCACCGATAGTCCTTTTTTAGGAGCTTCGAGTTCTCATTTTTCTTGATCGCGTGCACGCGCGCGATCGTGACGCGTTTATTATACAATCATCTACGATCCCAACGGTTAATATCCCAGTGTCTCATTAGATGCTATTGCGTAAATGTAGAAGTCTCGGTTATCCAGGAATATATATCCCGCATTTATTCTACATTCACACGCGGTAGTTACGAAAATTTTATTATTTTACATCACCCAAACGTACTTAATCTTTATCAGCGAGCAAATAGTCGAAATGTCGCTATTGTAATATTTATAATTGATTTCGATCAATTCTTTAAGTAGATAAAAGGTTTTAGTTATTTTCTTCATGATGAATCAGAATCTGTCGATTTTGTCGATCAGTTTTGTATATCATAAAATTATAACAAGTAAGTTATTACCTTCTCTCTAATTGTATGTAAAAAATAAGAATCTACACGACAGCTCGAACGTTTTGATAAAACTGTGAGATTTTATAGGAGATTTAATTTTTAACAAAAAATTTCCTATAAATAGGTTGAAAAATGTTAATTCCTTAAAAAGTTTGCAAAAACGCTTTGAAATTTTGATTATTTTACACATATTTTTACAAATATCAAAATATGCGTTTTTTAAGTAAACAGTAACAAAGTTGAAAATTAAATTATCTTTTAAATGAGATAAAAATATAACACGTGTTTATAGAAAATTTTTTGTCCAGAATTAAATTTCCTATAAAATTTTAAAATCTGGCCGGATTGTTAAGGATCACCATGTATATACATACATACTAGTAGAATGAAAATTCTTCAACCGAAACATCGTTTCGATTTGTTCAACTATGTAATTTGAAATATTTTCCTGATAAAATAGTAAAAAAAAACATTTGCGATTTTATGACCTATATAGAATTTAAAAAAAAAACAGTGTACATTGCAAATAAAATAAATTTTTATTAATATTGTTATTAATTTTATTATTCATTCTATGGAAAGTTCCCCTTTAACTGCTCACTCATACTCTCTCTCTCTCTCTCACGCACACACACACACGCGCGCGCACATACGAGAGAAGTTTTTCAGTCATTTTTTTATCATTCGGACAGCAACGTTCATGACAACGGTAATTCCAAATTAGACGAAGCTATACTTCTATCTACTTCGATTTCGTAAGAACGTAGAATGGAAAATTCTGTAATGTATAGAATTACGTCGGTAATCAGTCATCCAAAGTTCAATTTTTAACATCAGTGGCAATTGATGATGCTCTATTTTTCATGCTCAATTCGTACGTCAACGTTAATTATAATTCGGGAGTTTTAGTCAATCATTCCACATTAATTCAAATTGAATTCAATCTAATAAAAAATAATAAGTTCCTCTCTCAAATATGCGACCGGGGAGACATTGTTTCATCGTGGTTTCATTTCTCAAACGGTGAATATAAATAAAGGGGTTCATGTTGCGTGATTTAAGAGGATGTTTCCCGAGAAGTGGTCCATAGAGAGAGAGTCACGAGGAGTTGTCTTCTCTCCCCTTCGCCCCTCTGAATCGCGAGGGTCTCTCGCGTGACACGCTCTAAAATAACCTGCTCGGAAACTGCAAAACTACGAGGAAATCGTTAGCGTCATAGTGGGGTCATATGATAGTCATCGGTAGACCGTAACAAAACGAAAACAACATTCGGCACGTATCACGCAGACACGATAGCGTTTTAAGCAACAAAAATATATTTCATTTACGAAGGGTTATTATTATCGAATATAAAAGTATAACGATAGCAATGCGATGATTATTACTCATCCCTTTTACATGATCTTTCTGTCACGTAGTCGCTACATTGGGCAAGAGCTCTAATTCTTCGTTATCGCAACATTTCTGTGGCATAAACAAGTTTTTCCTGGCTTACGAAACTTTAAATCATGTGTGGAGATTAAAAATTCAACATGTTCTTGCGTGTAAAATTTACGAATATTTTTTGTAATAATACATCAGGTAGAAGATCTGAATAATTTCACAGAAGGTAGAATTAGTGGTGCAGACATCATTTTTCATAGAATTTGAATTACTTTTGCGAGCATCGAAATCAAATTTATGAGGTATTTGGAGAAGAAAAATTCCATTCCATTTAAACTCCATCAATTAAGTAATCAAGTCTTCCAGTAGTAAATCTTATATCATTAATTAATTAATCAAATAGAAGATACCTTTTTCAAAATCTCTGAGAAATATAATTGTATTGTAAGCAATTATATCGGCAAGAAAAGATTTATCTTTTAGACAGTAAGAGTTTAATTGCAGTTCTGTGTAAAATAACAAAATAGTAACCTGCTTAGATTAATTGCTTTATATAAAATAGTAAAATAGCGACGTCTACTGTGAGATTAATCTGGAAGCTTAATATTAGAAATAAGGACGTATAATCGCGATGTAACGCGTTTTCGATTAATCTTGTCACAATGTAACGTATTTATGCAAACAAAAAGCTATACTGTGTGTCTCGCCAAGTGATCGATAGAGGTCGACGAGGGGGTGAACAGGGGAAGTAGAGATTAATATGTCAATTAGAGTGTCTGCTGTGACAGTTATTTCTCTGTATAAGTAATGATATAAGCGAGGGGAGTTCTCTCCAGCCACGTATGCATAGTCTACAGGATGTTCGGCGGCTTTATCTGTCAAAGACAGAACCAGAAAGAGGAAAATAAAAGAGTTTTGCTCGATATTGTCATTGGTTGACGTCACGTCCCACTCCTTAATTCTATAACTGGTTATTTCGACGAAACGTTAATTTTCTTTTATAACGATATACAAGTTTTTTATGACCGGAAAGTTACGGTAGACGCTGATTTCCCTTGATATTTGCGATAACCCGACTCCAAATTAGGATTCCACCTGTTAAAAGATGACGTGGCAGAAGTGAAATACTCTGTATATACATCGCGACGATACGCGTGCACGCATGACTGACGACGGACTTCTGGAAAATTTTCTTCCCTAATTACTAGTATGTCGCGACTTGTTGACAGCGTTAAGCATGTATGGCCAGCTGAACGAAACAAAGGCTGAATTTTATCTGTAAGGCCCAGTTTTACCAACGTAAGATTAACTCTCTCTCTCTCTCTCTCTGTTTAATTGTAATCTATTCCTTATCTTTTTCTTCTTAGAATTAGATAACTTGGTTTCTATTTTTTTCTAATTCCCCAAGAATTAGAAAAAGATAAACAGTATATTAAGCTGAGATTACAGTTAAATCTTACATTGGTGCACTAAGGAAAAAAAAATTGTTAACTTGATTATGTAAATGCGTTTACAAATCAAAATAAAAAAGTGCGTTTAGTTTGTAGTAATTATTTAGTTGGAGTATTTATATATTTAAGTTAAATACACACGATCAGTCATGTCATATTATCTGTTTGAATTAATAAATACTTGTTTGAATTAACAAATATTTGCTTAACAGTTCGTAATTTTCTGCATTTAGTTAAATCAACTAAATCAATTATTTTTTTGAAACAGCA